CATTTTTTGCAATATTTTAGAAATTTTTTTGTCGAGTTCGACCACCAGAAATCATTTTCAGCTTTCTTCGAGAATTTCTTCCGTTTTTCTGAAATCACCAATCGAAATACGCCCATTTTTAGTATCTTTCAAAAAATTGAATTTCAAATTGAATATTTTGAAAATTTTTGTTCGGCATCAAAAACAGGTTATATTTTTCAAATCAACACGTGAAGATGCGTAATATCACACGATTTTTTTTTGAGGTTTAGCCAACTTTTCTGAAGGCTCAATTTTTTCAATACTTCGACGATTTTTCGACCACCATCGAAAATTACCCAAAGGTATTTTTTTTAAGTATTCGGTCTCCAGAAGTTATTTGCGCCTTTATTTCTCCGAAAATCCTTTCCATTTTTCCAGAATCAATTGAAATAGGGTAATTTTTTGGAATTTTCAAAAATTTCGAGTTTCAAATTGAATATTTCGAAAATCTTGGTCCGGGACCTAAAGTAAGCTACATTTTTCGGATGAATACATGAAGATCTACAATATACCGGAATTTTTTGTTGACGTTTCATCAACTTTTCCGAAAGCTCATTTTTTTTCGATACTTTCGAAATTTTCGACGATTTCTTAACCATCGTCGAAAATTACCCACAGGAATTTTTTGTAGAGTTCGGATCCCAAAAGTTATTTACGGCTTCATTTTTCCCAAAAATTCTTTTAATTTTTCCAGAATCACGAGTTAAAATACGGCAATTTTTAAGATTTCGCAAAAATTTCGAGTTTCAAATTGAATATTTCGAAAATCTTGACCCGGGACCAAAAGTAAGCTATATCTTTCGGATGAGTACATGAATATCTATAATATTCCGGAATTTATTGTTGACGTTTAGCCAACTTTGCCGAAAGCTCAATTTTTTCGATATTTTCGAAATTTTCTACGATTTCTTAACCACTGTCCAAAATTACCAAAAAGATTTTTTTGTGGAGTTCTAATTCCAGAACATATCTACGACTTCGTTTTTCCGAAAATCCTTTCCATTCTTCCAAAATGAATTGAAATAGGGCAATTTTTAAGATTTTTCAAAAATTTCAAGTTTCAAAATGAATTTTTCGAAAATCTTGGTCGGGGAGCAAAAGTAAGCTACATTTCTAAGATGAATACACAAAGATCTATAACATCCCGCAATTTTTTGTTGACGTGTAGCCAACTTTTCCAAAAGCTCAATTTTTTTGGATAATTTCGAAATTTTCGACGATTTCTTAACCACCGTCGAAAATTACCCAAAGAGATTTTTTGTACAGTTCGGATTCCAGAAGATATTTATGGCTTAATTTTTCCGAAAACCCCATTTTTCCAGAATCAATTGGAATAGGGCAATTTTTAGAATTTTTCAAAAATCTCGAGTTTCAAATTGAATATTCTGAAAATCTTGGGCCGGGATCAAAATTAAGCTACATTTTTCGGATGAATACAAGAATGTCTATAATATCCCGGAATTTGTTATGTCCGTTTAGGTAACTTTTCCGAAAGCTGAATTTTTTTCGATACTTTCGAAATTTTCCTTGATATCTTAGCCACCGTCGAAAATTATCCAAAGGAATTTTTTTGAAGTGTTCGGTCTCCAAAAGTTATTTTCGGCTTCATTTCTCTGAAAATCCTTTCCATTTTTCCAGAATCAAATGAAATAGGGCAATTTCCTAAGATTTTTCAAAAATTTCGAGTTTCAAGCTGCATATTTCGAAAATCTTGATCCGAGACCAAAAGTACGCTACATTTTTCGGATGAATTCAGGAAGATCTATAATATCCCGGAATTTTTTGTTAACATTTAGACAACTTTTCCGAAAGCTCAATTTTTTTCGATAGTTTTTCAACGATGTCGAAAATTACCCAAAGGGACCTTTTGCTCGGATTCCAGAGATTATTTACGAATCACTTTTCCGAAATCCTTTCCATTTTTCCAGAATCAATTGAAATAAGGCAATTATTAGGATTTTTCAGAAATTTTAAGTTGCAAATTGAATATTTAGAAAATCTTGGTTCGGGACCAAAAGTAGGCTACATTTTTCCGACGAATACATGAATATCTATAATATCCCGGTTGACATTTAGCCAACTTTTCCGAAAGATCAATTTTTTCGATATTTCCGAAATTTTCGACGAATTCTTAACCACCGTGGAAAATTATCCAAAAGGATTTTTTTCTACAGTTCTTATTCCAGAAGTTATTTACGCCTTCATTTTTCCGAAAATCCTTTCCATTTTTCCAGAATCGATTGAAATATGGCAATTTTTGGGATTTTTCAAAAATTTCGAGTTTCAAGTTGAATATTTCGAAAATATTGGTGCGGGATCAAAAGCAAGCTACATTTTTCGGATGGGTACATGAAGATATATAATATAACGGAATTTTTTGTGACGTTTAGCCAACGTTTCCAAAAGCTCAATTTTTTTCGATATTTTTGAAATTTTCGACGATTTCTCGACGACCGTCAAACATTATCCAAAAGGATTGTTTTGTGGAGTTTGGCCTCCGGAAGTTATACTCAGCTTCATTTCTTCGAAAATGATGTCGATTCTTCCAGAAACATCAGTTAAAATTCAGCAATTTTTTGGATTTTGAAAAAATGTCGAAAATTGAATATTCCTAAAATCTTGCCCCGCAACCAAAAATAAGCTACAGGTATTTTTCGAATCAGCACGTAAAGAGTTATATTCTAGAATTTTTTGTTGACTTTTAGCCAATTTTTAAAATTCCTTCCATTTTTCCAGAATCACCAGTTGATAAATGACAATCTTTAGGACTTTTAAAAACATTTCGAGTTTCAAATTGAATGTTTAAAAAATCTTGATGTAGGACCAAAAACAAGCTATATTTTTCGAAGCAACACGTGAAGATTTGCCAAATTTTTGTGGACTTTGAGCCAACTTTTCATAAAGTTCATTTTTTTTCAATACTTTCGAAATTGTCGACGATTTCTTGACAATACCGTCAAAAATTATCCAATGAGATTTTTTGTAGAGTTCGGTCTCTAGAAGTTACTTATCTTGCTCAGAAAATTCCTTCCGTTTTTTTAGAATCACCAAATGAAGTATGGCATTTTTTTGAATTTTTAAAAAATTTGATTTTCAAACCGAATATTTCAAAAATTTGATGATGGCATCTCAAAATTTTACATTGTAACCATTTTTTTTCTTACACTCTGACTGGTATTATCTATATTTTTTATTTATGAAAAAACTGGATTTGTCTGATTGTAGTTCAGGGGCGAGGAAGATTTTCTCTAATAACATTAGACCAATTTTTTATTATTTTAGTCATAACATGGGCAACACAATTGAAAAATGGTAAAATCAGAGGTTTTGTGAAATACTTTAAAAGAAAATACAAATTGAAGACAGGTTTATAAGAGGTCTTTAAAAAACGTGGATGAGGTCACAGGTTTAATGTGGTGAAGCAAAGATTTTCTGAAACGAAATTTCTAAATAAACACGAATCAGTGAGAGAGCAAACATACGTTCGAACAGATTTACGAAAATACGTAAGTGGATATCCACATTTTAAAACATTTTTTTTTCCAATGTCGAGAGTGAAAAGAGAATTAGTCGAGTCTAGGCGGATTCATAAACCACAAGTACAAGACGATGTTATTTTATCAAATTTCAAATATTGGCACAGACGACGGTAGACGAAAACGGAGACCTACTTTTTCATTTTCTAGGGGTCATGAAACGTCGAGAAAACAAGAAAGTATCCGTTTAACAACGTGTTTTTCTCTTTTTCGTTAGCAAATATCTGTTAAATATAGTTAAAGAATCAGTAATTAACTATTCCAGTCAGTAAACGAGCGGCAATTAGACGACGACGTTTCCCTCTACAGATTTAGCTGACCTGCCGCACAAAAGATCCTCTTCGTCGTGCAATAAACCTTGAATGGTATAAATGAAACTAGTTTCACAATTAAGCTCGAGTACTTTACGGAAACATTAGAAGCAATTACGGTACTGAGCATCTCGTACGTACCTTGTTATTATTTATACATTCCGCACTTATTCCCTCCATTCATCATCGAGAACTACTCAGAAAATGTCCCTAATCGGACCCGCTCCATGTATCAATTAATCAACAACAAATCCACACACAATTTTCCTAAATATCCCTCGCCCAAAGACAAACGACCTAACCAGCGGACTATAAAACGCGCCGTTTCAAAAATGAGACATATGAAAGTGGAGGAATTAATTACGAATGTCCGTTTCCTACATGTTAAATCACCTACAAGCTTTTGGTGTTTTTTCCCATGACAGAGTGTGCTTGCATTATGGCGTGTGTCGGACCCATTAACCAATTTTATAACGAATGCATTTAGACCGGCGATAAATTCAAACGAATGGGTTCGGCCAAAGTTATTTATGTAAAATGGTTCTGCAGTCCGGATTGTCGGACTTTTCCGAAGTCATAAGTTTGTAATTGACACAAAATAGTCGATTTGAATTTTATAATTGGCCGTTTCGGCGTTCCGTTGCCCAAGTGGGTCTCCTGTTCCTGTAATTCTTCAAATTGCCAGCGTACAGCAATATTTCTTTCATTGGACGGAATCGCGCCGCGTTAAACTGTTAGATAGTTGTAAATTTGACATAATTAAGGAAGAGATTGATGGTATGGACTTTCATCACGTTTCTGGCGAAAAAATTATGGTTTCACTTATTAATAAGCGGCTACTGGGTTACTTTTTCTGTGAAGATGATACTCAATAACTCAGTAAACACGGACGTGCCATAAATCTTACAATTTGTGGCTATAGGAAGGGCCGGAACGTTTACTTTACCCCTTCATTAAATTGGTTTAATTTGTATTTACGTAAGTCGAGTTCTTCTTGAAGTAGCTGTTTGAATCTACCTTTGTGTCTTAATTAATGAAGGCTTGAGTAATCAATTGGGGTTGATCCCCTTGGTGCGTACTTCTCGGAAGAGCACCCTATAGCCCTGACGGCCATTAACCCTAAGCCACTCACCTTAACACGTTGCAGAAGCTTAGCGGCCTGTATGCAGAATTCATTCTCAAATCTGTGTAAACACCCATGATATTCACAGACGAGCAAATCCCTAGCTTGCCTAACCAAACACTTCTTCGAATGTTGATAGTTCTCATACAGACTCCCGAAATACTTTTCTACCAAGCTGGCGACATCACTCTTAGCCTGTAACAAAAAGATCACGTTATTGCAAAAATCAAACACCCGTTTTAAAATAATTTTTTATCCAAAGGAAATGTAAACGAAAAATTGAATGGCAAATTTTCACTTCAGATTGTTATTTTTCCCTCAAAATACATACAAATTCTACTGCGAAAAATTGTTATTAAAAAAGTTCTGCTCATAAATATAAATGAGTTCACTGATACATTAATTTTAGCCATGTTTATCTACATAATGGATACGTTTTAACGTTGATTTAATAGTTTACAGTTAAACTAGTAGTTTAAATAATTTTTTATATTTTCTTAACGCGATATTGAAGTTTTGAATGTTGATTTCTTTATTTATAGTTTCCGTCTCTTGTTTCTCTATATCCTTAACAATCACAATTTTGTTGGCATTTTTTTTCCTCTGGTATAGGTATTTGTTTCCTGTTTGAGTCACGAGTGTTATGATATTTATTACTTCCCGAACATAAACTGAGTATTGTAAAAGATTCTTGTGAGGAATATTAATTTGATATTTTCTTGAAGTTTTATGGTGCCTAGAACAAGAAAAAGTAGATCTCGGAAGTTTATTTATTGGATATTTTATAAGACAGACAAACCCTAATCAACATTTGTTTATCCGTCCCTCAGCAAAAATTTGATGACTAATATGCTGTTGGTTCTTCGATCTTTCAGTACTCGATAACACTTTAACGTTTACCAGTTCATATTATGCAACAACTGCTTAATATTAGTAAAATATGCTAATAGCAGTAAATTTCTAGACATTCGGGAAAGTATAGAAATATTTAAAAACAAAAATTATGTAATGAATTCATATCGCGGACCCCTCCCGGACTCGTCCCATACGCCCTTATGTATAGAACATAAGCTATGACAGTTGAAATTCCACTTTAGGTTAGTATTAACTAGATAACATCAACGTGATTGGCGAAGCGAGTACTTTTGTAATTTTGTATTTTCAGATTTATAGCAGTGACGGCTCGTGGCCTTCTGAAATGGGGGACACAATTTGATTGACGAGTTAACTATGAAGATATAAAACAGGTTGTTATTACCAATTAATAGACGTAATTGTGTGACGGAAATAAATACAAAAATACTGTTACGAAATAAACCCATACGCCGCCCCGATACGACGCCTATGGGTTCTAGTATGTAGGGCGATGATGACTCATTGTAGGTAACAGCGGCTGGAGAAGAGCCTGGAAGCGGAAGTCGCGAATGGGTGCTCCAGACAAGTCTAGCAGCGGTGACGGAGGCGTTTCGAGAAGAACATCGTGGCTCTTTAAATGGGAGCCACCGTCGAGAGCAGACAGATTTATGGAAGAAGTAGAGTCTAGTCAACTCCATTCCAGTCGGAATTATTTTGTACATAATCGCTGTGTAGTTATTCGTGTAAATTCGAGTTACTAAGAAATAAATTGTTGAGTTTTACCCACGTCGATTTTATTCACCAATCAACGTAAAAATACATTAAGTAAAAAAGCATTTGTCCATATACCTTTTTGCCTTCGGTCAAAATTTTATGCTGGTGTTGTGATGATGAAACGTCTGATTTTTACACAAAATTTAAAAATTTATAAAAATACAAGTCACAATGCATACACAATAATGTTATTGTTTTTTTCCACTAGTAGCATTACAATGGCCAATTGTCGACTTGTCTAGAGGTTTGTAATTTGGAAAATTGTGAACCTTGGTCAATAATGTAAACGTGAAGTTGGCCACCTAATGTGACAACTGTCCACAACTGTCAGAAAAAATGAGACATAACCTGAAAATAATCATTTTGGAAAAGTTGCTTTTAAATTAAGCCCTGGAATGATTTCCAAACCCTGAATTGATTATTCTCGGTGTAATTGAGCATAAATTGGTGAAACTAAGTTGATGATGTTGATGGGAGTGAAAATGAAGTTTACGGGAGTGAAAATGAAGTTTACGGGAGTGAAAATGAAGTTTACGGGAGTGAAACTGACTCATGGTTCCGATTTGGTTTGACTTGATTTGTCGTAGATGAGCTTTGGACGATTTCGGCGACTTTTTTTTGTTAAAGATCGAGCCGTCGTTGTATCCTTCTGCTACCCTGACGGATTTCCATTCCTCGTGTCGCTTTAACAATAAAAGGTCGATATCTTTTTCAGCCAAATTTGTCGCGGTCGCGGAAATACGACGGAATGAGGAGGGGTACATGATGGTTCACTTTACAACATTTTTCACACAAAAATTTATTAAAAACGAGAAATATGGAGGAAATTAAAACAAAAGTTCTGGACCATTTCTGGATTGTCAAAAAATAATAAAATTCCAAAGCTTACTAAAATGACGTGAGTAGACGTTTTTATTGATGCACTTCAGAAAAAACATTTTGAAAATTCGCAAAGCTCAAGTGGGCTACTAGTGGAAAAAATAGTATATTAACCACGTTTGTGAAGCCAATTCTAGAATGTCTGTCTTCACAACCTTGGTTAATAATATACTATTATTTTATACTGTCTTTCACTGATCACTAGAGTGTAATTTTATTTATAATTAAAGTCTAATCTTCTGTTTTTGTTATTCACAAAAATATTTAACACTTTATTGTCAAAATTTTCAATTGTTTGCATTAATTTTTTTTCAAGTGATAGCATCGCGAGTGCATTTAATCTATCCTGAGTCATAGTAGTTCTTAGGAAACATTTGATTCTCCTTTAGGAAGCGCGAAGAATTAAAACCCGCAATTGAGTTACTGCTGCTGGGCATTGTCGAAACAGGGCCCGATTCCAGTCCAATATCGCGACTACACTCACGGTTTCCATGGCCACGGTGTAAACAAAACGTCTAAATCAGCCATGATTTGGTCTCGGTCTCCGCTTTTATCAGCAATACCATGTCATATATTCAAGACACAACATCCTTAGATATAAGTGGATGTAAGTTTTGAGGCATTTTATACAAGCGGAGCGAGATAAAAAAATTAGTTTTGATAATTATGACACAAATTTCGGATAATGTTTTAAATATTGAAAATTACTATTTTGCTATGTCCAGCGTGCTTATAGACCTTGTAATTTGCCCCCTGGCACCAGCCGCCCCTGGATTATAGTGTATAGGAATACATGTAGTCTCTTGATTCACTTTTATTTAACGTTCCGCATGAAGGTTTTCGAAAAACAAATAAAAATTATATAACAAAATTGTATAATAATTACACAAGAAACATTGCTCTGAAAATAGGTCCACGTCTTAAGATTATCATGCACAAGATAAATCACTGTATAGAATTTGTCAATTTATCTTTTCCAAAAAATTGAGACGTCGTCTCAAAATATTGCTAAGCCAATCTTATTTAAAATGTAAAAAAATTGCACCCTTCAAAAATTTCACACCAATAACAAAAATTAACAACATTATGTGTACCTAGAATTTCAGGAAAATGCGGTAATCCATTTTCGAAATAATTATTAAAATAAAAAAAAAATGTAGACGTTGTGTAACCGCCTTCTTTGTTGATTTTTTGTTTTCTGTTTTTGAAACTCTTTTTGTGGATTTTTGTCGCTCTTTTCGTAGCGTTTCTTTTACATTCTTTCGTGTGACCTTTAGTGACTCAATTCTTTTAATCGCGTGTTTTGACAGTTTTTTTGGCACCATGTTTTAGTCACTTGAATAGTGGTCTTTTTCTCATTTTTCATCGAATTTTTGCTCTCTGTTTTCACATTTTTTGTGGATTTTTCCCTTTTGTTTGACCTTCTTTGACTCCCTTCAATGAGTCACAATCACATTTTTTGTGACTTTTTTGCCGCTTTATTGTTTTTTTGGCACTTTTTTATAGTCCCATTTTTGTAACTTTTCTATCGCGTTTTTTGGCCATCCTTATCTCCTTTTTTTGTCACTTTTGGTAGTCATCTTCCTTGGCACTTGTTGTAGTTCCTTTTTTTTGACTAAAGTTGACAAAAAGATCGCCACCTCTTTTTGTGACTGCCCCTTTTTTCGCTTTTTTTACTCCCCGCTTTTAGTCACAATTTCCTAGAACGTTCTTTGGACCCATTCTTTTCGTTATGGACCCTTTTTTTGAATTTATGTGGAATTATTTTCTCTCCCTTTTTTTGTATTCTGTTTTTCTAGCCTTTTTTGCAGATTTTTGTCCACTTCCTCCCGTCTTTTGTGTGCCCTTTTTTTGTAGCCTTTTTTTACGCCGCTCTTTCAGTCCAATATTTCTACAGCCTTTGTTGGTCCGATTTTAATGGCATTTTACTGGATTTTTGTAGAATTGTTTTGTCTTGTGTTTTCGTAGCGTCTCTTTTTGTTTTGGTTCCCTTTTTTAGGTACATTTTTTTTTCTTTTTCCCGTTTTCATGGATTTCTGGTTCTCTATTTTCCCTTTTTTTAGAAGGATTTGTTTTCTTCCTTTCTATGGCGTATTTTGGTCTTTCCTATCGCTTTTTTTATCACTTTCAGCAGTCACATTTTCTTGTCAATTTTTGGTAGTCACTTTCCTTTTTGTTGCCTTCTTTTGTTGGCTTTGTGACCCCTTTTTTATAGCCGTTTTTTTTTTGTAGTTACCTTTACTTCATTGTTGCGGAATTCTTGTGTATCATTTTTTGCCTGCTGTTTTTGTAGATTTTTTGTTTTTCTGTCGTTTTTTGCACCGTATTTTTGTATTTTTTCTTGTGACTTTTTGTGATTCGCTTCTAACCGCATTTTTGTGGAGTTCCTTGGGTCCCTTTTTTACTCACTTTTGTTGTGCCCTTTTTTCTCATTATCCATGGGTTTCTGTCCTCTGTTTTCGCCTTTTTTGTGTTTTTTTTTCTCCCTTTTTATGGTCTTTTTGTAACTTTTTTTTATTACGTTTTTATAGTCGCTTTTTTGTACACTTTTGTGTCGCATTTTTTTGGACTTTCTCTATTATTCACAATTTTCTAGAGCATTTTTTTTGGCCCATTTTTATCGCCGTTTTCTTGGTCACTCTTTGTGGTCGCCTTTTTTGTGAATTGTTTTGTCTTGTTTTTTCGTC